CAAGGCTCTGTGTCTGCTGAGTGTGTGTGTGTGTGTGTGTGTGTGTGTGTGTGTGTGTGTGTGTGTGTGTGATGGTTAACTTCTCTATCCAAAGGCAGATCAGGAAGTATTGGGAGGGAGAGAGGGGAGCATGGCTACCCAGGATGAGGGCTTCCCCTGTTTTTTTCAACTAATTATAGATTGACTTACAGCTTTAGACTTAGCACAGTGAGATCCTATGTACCTGTGCTTATAATTCTAAAACACAAGGGTTAATATAGTATAATAGTGGCTTATACCTTCTCATATATACATACATATACATACATGAGAGAGAGAGGGAGAGAATATACAGCATATATTTTACATCCTGACACAATGAGTGTGGTGCCAGCCAAGTGGAGCATCAGTGAGCACTGACTGAGAGCTGGACTTTTCCTGAATGCCTGATCACTGTGCACCCAGGACTGAGGCTTCTTTCCGGCTAATCAGGGTCTCTATATGCTGCATTTTCTTATTTGTGCCCGAGAATGTTTCTGTTGAGGAACATTCTGCCTATTGCACACAGAGCAGGAGGTCTTTGGTTCATCAGCTTTGTACCCCTGCTTTTGGACCACTCAGGACTGCCTGGTCTCATTGGTCACCATTGACCCCAACACTGGTAACTGGATTTTTTAGTGGGAATGTTGGCTGGAAGAGATGAACTCTGACTGCAATGAGGATGACTAGTGGCTTTGGAGGAGTGGCAGGTAAGTACGTACCAGGGTTCTTTGTACAGACATTACATGTCCCATTTGGACATGAAGGATCACTGTTGTAGCAAAAGGTTTTAGTCTAGCTTAGTTTATTTATTTATTTATTTATTTATTTAGAAGTTCAGGGTCATTCTTTTTTTTTTTTTAAGATTTCATTTATTTATTATGCATACAACATTCTGCTTCCATGTATATCTGCACACCAGAAGAGGGCACCAGATCTCATAAGGGATGGTTGTGAGCCACCATGTGGTTGCTGGGAATTGAACTCAGGACCTCTGGAAGATCAGTTGGTGCTCTTGACCTCTGAGCCATCTCTCCAGCCCAGTTTAGTTTATTTTTATAGACAGTCTCCTGGCTGGTCTGGAACTTACTATCTAAATAGACCAGTCTGGCTTTGAACTCGCAGAGGCCCACCAGGCTCTGCCTCTAACTCCCCCGAGTGCTGGGGTTAATCATGAATCCCTGGTTAGCCATGGTTACATGTTGAGACTGTGTCTTCAAACAAACAAAAACAAAAACAAAACAAAACCTCCCAAAAGAGGCTTCCTTGCCTTCTTCAGTTTGGGAAACTTGGGACTCAGCCCGTGTTAGCCCCTTCAGCTTTTCTGGAGCCTGTGTACTCCTCAATTTCCTCTGTCCTATAGAGACATCTTCGTGTCTGTCCTTGTCTGGGTATCTTTGCCTTTTTGCCAACCTGGGGTCTCCTCAAGACCCCTTTCCTCACCTAGGGTTGCTTATAGTAGTCCTCTATCACCCATATCCTGACTCTAAAGGCCCTGATAGAAACACTTCACTGATGTTAAAGGTCCCAGGCCTCTGTGCTCACAGGACAGGATCCCTGTCATGACAGTCTTGCAGCCTCTGCCTACATGTCCTGGGAATGCTCCCTGCCTTGAGACTTTCCCCAGAGAACCCCTTGTGGCTCCCCAGGAGAGTTTCCCCTGAACAGAATGACTTCAGGTAGTTGACAAATCTGCTAGGCATCTGGGGCATGGGTGCAGGTCAGGAGACACAGGCACGCTCTTGGCAGTGTCTCCCTTTCCTTCCTTTCAATCTGGATGCTTGTACCACCTGGCAGGGAAGATGCTCCAACTACAGAGCCAGAGGCTGGCCACTAATTTTTGTAACAATGTGGCACTCTACCCCATAGCTCTTCTAGTCTCTGGCTTTACTGTGTGCAGAGATCTCATATAGCCAACAAGTCTCTGGGGATAGCATTCTGGCTGTTCTCTCATGCAAATCCATTGCCTTTGCCTCTTTTATTGGTAGGCAAGTTGTGACCCATGTTGGTCTTCAATTAGGCATTTTCATTTAACTTTAGATCATCTCATCAAAATTATTCCCGAGTTGAACATTCCTGTGTGCACTGTTGATGAGTCTGGGCTCTCAAAGTTCTTGGGTTTCATATCTTTAGACTCTGGGCTCCATGTAGACTAAGCCTGGATACAGAGATGTGTTTTGGAAAACAATGGCTGAACAGAGAGTAGATGTGATTGCAAAAATGTTTTGGCAATGGAACCAAACTGAGGGGTCAGCCCTCCTCTTGAACAGATAATCTGAGCACATGGGGCTCAAACACTTTTTGAGTGGCTTCCTTGGCTTGGGCAGGATGGAGATTTGGGATGTCAGGTGAGACACAATTGCCCGTCCCATTACAGGCGGCAGGTCTTGGAGTGAACTGCGCCATGTGGTGATGGGCACAGGCTTGGGTGGATCCTAGGGCAGTGAGCAGTGGGCAGTTGGTCTCTGTGCTCTGCTTCTTATCACATGATTACGTTTGGCTCAGGCTCAGCGCTCACCACACAGGAAACTACTGGAACTGCCCCTCCCCATGTTAATGAGGCAGATCTAGAAAGTAGAAGCCAGGGGAACTGAGGCTCAGGCTTTGTATGTGGGTAGGTAGATCACAGGAACCCTCATCCAGTGGCTAGGGACTTGAATTGGAGCCAGTTCTGTTGTTCCGAGCCTTTGTATACATTGAAATGGAGTGATGGTGGTGCACACCTTCAGTCCTAGTACTTGGGAGGCATAGGCAGGCGGATTTATGAGTTTGAGGACAACCTGGTCTATGTAGTGAGTTCCAGGACAGCCAGAGCTACACAGAAAAAATCATTTCTGCAAACCAAACCAAACCAAACCAAACCAAACAAAATCTTGGGTCTTGTGTCTGTCAATTCTCACTTTCACAGCTGCTGACAGACTAGCACCAAAAAGGAAATTTCAAGTTTTATTGTAAAATCCTCAGAAAAAGAGCGTTGACAATGACTGTATTTTATGATAATCCGTGAGTCTTTTTTTTGTCAAGTGGTACAGTAAATACATCATGTGTTCAATACCGTGTCATACATCAAAATAAACACAAACTTATTTCAAATGCCACATACTGTTACTGTGTTGGTACAAATTTCTACTAAAGTTGATGTATTAAAAATAATTTATATATATCTTATAAATAAGGAAAAAATTCACATGTGTATAATAATTACAGGCGGCCTTCTGAGAAATACTGATTACAGAAAATATATTTTGGAGTCTACACAACTGCTCAAAAGAATGTAGCCTGCCTCAATGTAAGAGATCCAAGGGTTTTTCTGAGGTGGGGAAAGGATGACTCTCCTGATGGTGTGCAATGGGGTTCCACAACTTGAAGGTCATTCAGCGACACAATAGCGTGAAACGATGTGCGACCACTCCAGCAAAACTTCATGCCCAGTTTCACTTTGGGTCATTTTACACAGCCTTCAGGAAGCAGGGCAGCAGCATTGGGGATTGTGGGAGCCCTTGGAGCCAGGGCAGGGAGGGAGGGTGGAGGAGGCAGGCAGGAGGGTGGGGATGAGGGGTGCTACCACCAGGGGCACAGTGGGTTTGGATCTGGTCGCCTGCAGGCTTGTTTCTCTCCCATCTCTGGAGATGGCATGCTAGACAGTGGATGAGGATACAGGGTTTAGAGACCCCTGCTGGAACTCACAGCCAGCCAATGCCAGTTTTTCTTTTTCCAGAAGGTGAACTGTGGAGAGCAACATGTCACCAAGGCTTGGTGTAGGGGGGCAGTTCATACACAAGGCTTTGTGGGCTGTAGGCAGGATTCTCAAGAGTTGCCTAAGGTAGGGCCATGCTTTCTAGGCCATAAGTGACGTTTAATTGGAACACTAAAGCAGTGAGGCATCATGAGCAGAGGCCACACGATACCTGTATGGTAGGTGGGAAGCTGATGCTCCATCAACTGTCGAGGGAGTGAGCCATGGGAAATGGACTGTAACACAGTCATCAAGTTGAGTTTGGAAAGAAGGGCGCATAAACCGTGACTTTGTGTAAAGAGGGAAAAAAACATCCTAAATATACTGGTGCCAGCTAAAGAAGCCTCACTATGAATTCTGGAAGTCCATTTCTTCTCTCCTTACATATCCCATAATTTCACCCATTATGTTTGGACATCTAGCTGGGAAGTGTAATTTAACCAAAGAGCCAGAGGAGAATGTGGAAGCCTAAGATGATGCTTGCTTATTATCTCCAGGTATCTGCTGGGAAGCTGATGCCCAAGCCCATGGGCCCAGATAAGACACCCAGATCCTCAAGCCAGTGTGGTAACCAGGAAGTGGCTTGCCTTCGACCAGCCGTTTATCATCTTGTGGTGCCCTGCTCCTGTTGGATCTTTTAAGTATCCCACTTGTTATCTTTGTGGCTGTGGAGGGAAACCAAACCTAGGCAGTTAGGGATGTTCTTGAACAAAACCACGTTGCCTTTGTGGTGGCTTGGGAGCAAATGGCAGCATCTGGTCTAATTTGAACCCCCAAAGCAAGGAGCACATGAAGCTGGTATATGACAGAGTTGTTGCTCCTTGGAGGATGAGGGCCATCACAGGGAACTCGGGAGCAGGGGGCCTGGGATACAGGAAGGGAACCAGGAAGAGTGAGTGATGTGGGAAAAGATGGAGAGGGAAGACTGCCTAGCATGAGACTGGGCTGAAATGAAATGTCACCAGCCCTCTCCCTGCTGGACAAGGGTCCCTATTTCTCTAGTTTTCAGCTTCTCACTCTGTAGGACTGAGAACTAGGGTTTGGGCTGTGATTCTGGACAGCAAGGGGCTGTCACTGGGTTCTGATCACACGTGGAGTGGGACTGATGGA